ACTCACACCCGCCCTGTGACTCACAGCCGCCCTGACTCACACCCACCCGACTCACACCCGCCCTGACTCACACTCACTGAGACTCACAGTCAGACACTCTTCCTCCTGAACACATACACATTCACACTCCCTCTCTGTTTCTCTCTTGTTCTGCCTCTGACTCCCTCTCTCTATCTCCCTCTCTGACTCTCCCTCAGTGTCGCTCTCTCTCTCTCTCTCCCTCCCTTTCTTCCCGTCCTCTCTCAGTGTGAATGGCAGTAGGTCCCTGTGATGTTCCAGCTGATCTCTTACCCATGTGAATGATCTTTTTGTTAAACACACACGGACCCCGTTCCAGTGATTCGGACCTGCTGACCCGGATGCAGCACTGGTTAAACAGGGTGAACCTTGAAGCTTCCACGCTGCAGCTCCGAGTTTCTTTCAGTTTGATCTGGCAGCTCTCCATCGTCCTGTCCTCACTGTGGGTTAACACAGAGCTTGTGTTGGTGTTTGTGTACTAACCAGGCTGGCCTACTCTCTTGCAATCAGTCTGCAGCCCACAGCAGCATCTCCTAACAGCCCCGAGCCCCTGCTCACACCCAAACAGTCTCCCACTCTCCTTTACCGCTGACTGTCCCCACTCACTCACAACAGAGAAAGGAGCAGGCACCTTCAGTGGGCCCTGCGATTGCTTAAGATCTTTGCTGTTTTACTTTGATGGTCTCACTGGCATTGGGAGTGGATCAGGAGTTCGACTCTGTCTCCCTCCCCTTCTGTTGGACATTGTGTTGGTCATTGAGAGGCCACTATTCCCAAACCAGCCCCAGAGACACTCAGTTTCCCCAGGCTTTAACCTGGGCCTCTGCAATTTACTGATTGCCCTTCACTGGTTCACCCATTAGGACACCCCACATGAGGCTGCTCCCAGCCTGGGTTTAAACCATAGGGTATACTAAATTGGGAGGGAATTATGTTGAAAAGACGCTGAGGAGGCGGGAAAACAAGAGAAGCAAAGCTCAGCAGAACTGCAGCTGGATTCTCAGCTTTCTGACCCACAGACCACAATCAGTGAGGATAGGTAACTGTACCTCCTCTACACTAAAACTCAACACTGGAGCCCCCCAAGGATACATCCTCAGCCCCCTACTGTCCTCCCTGTACACCAACAGCAGTGTAGCAATCTGTCTCTCAATGTCGCAAAACTAAAGAACTGATCATTGACTTCAGAAAGAAAGGAGGAGACCACGCCCCCATCTACATCAATGGGACTGAAATTGAGAGGGTAGAGAGCATCAAGATCCTCAGAGTGACAATTACCAACCACCTGTCCTGGACTTCCCACGTAGATGTGACAGTCAGGAAGGCACAACAACGCCTCTTCTTCCTCAGGCAGTTCAGGAAATTTGCCATGTCCATAAGGACCCTCACCACCTTCTACAGATGCACCATTGAAAACATACTGTCTGGGTGCATAATGGCCTGGTATGGAAACTGCTCTGCCCAGGACGGTAAGAAACTACAGAAGGTGGTGTGCACAGCCTAGACCATCATGGAAACCAACGTTCCATCCATGGACTCCATTTACACAGCTCCCTGCAGCAGAAAGGCGGCCAACATCATCAAAGACCCATCTCACCCCGGTAATGATCTCCTACAACCTCTTCCATCAGGCAGAAGGTACAGAAACCTGAACACACGCATCTGCAGGTTCAGGAACATCTTCTTCCTGCTGTTATCAGACTGATGAATGGACTCTCTAGTCTC